GAAACCTTTGTCCTATTCAGTGAAACTGGTATTTTTCATGCTTTTTAAAAAAAATCTATAAAATCTAGCTGTTGAATATGATCACAAAGTAAGCTGCAAAAGATAAAAATCTCAAAAGCAACAAAACAGTTTTCAGAATGGGATTCAGACCTCTCAGGATTAACTACTGAGTTTCAAAGAGCAAGTTATTTTTACTTGAAAAAAATCCCACTATTCAAAATATCATCCCTTGTATGGCAATAACTAACAACAAGCATACAAATTCAGAACAGAAAACAGGCAATGCAGTAATACCAAGAGGAACACTGAGAGGCTTCTTCTTTCCCCAAGTGTCATATCAACAATTTAGGAAATACTTTAGTTGAAGATCAACACATCCCAGTACAGTAATCTAAATGCAGCTATGATTAAAGTTAATGGATATCAAAATTACAGTCCAATGCAGGGAACTACCCAATGGATATTTACTTTAGGGTAAGCCGATTCACTCTTCAGTCTCTGTTCACTGTTTCGTAACTCTTGTGGAATGAGATGGGGAGAGGCCAAGATCTATGCTCCCACCAAAGCAATACCTGAGGCCATCAGTAAAAAGAAAACCTCAACACTTCTTTCATTTCTTCAACAATTTTTTTCTTTTTTCTCCCCTCCCCTCCACCCCCCAAACTGGTATGATATCAGGCCAACACTTCTTTCATTTCTTCAACAAGTTTTTTCTTTTTTCTCCCCTCTCCCCCACCCCCCAAACTGGTATGATATCAGGTTCAATTCAAACAGTGCTCATGACTCTGAACTTTCACACTGTTAAGCCAGATCGGTGAATTCAGACTAAAAAGCCTTAAAAGCTCACTGATATCCCCTCAAACTCATGGAAACAACCTGCTAATTTTCTTTGAGTAGCAGATGCCTACATCCATCAGTCTTTATTTATCCCCTGGAGATAAAAAACTTGATTGACAATACCCAGAGCACAACACATAGGTCACTGATGCAAGTCACGACCATTTTTAATCAACAATGAGGTCTACTCAGGTTTATAAGCTCTCAGCATGTTTGGGTGAGATTCCCCAGCAATATAATGTTAGTCTTTGCAGAGCTAAACTTCTGGCATTACACGAACATGAAGCATCACATGTCACCTCCATCTCCACAGCAATTGAAGAGCCTGTGGAGAACTGCTTCAGACCTTAGTTGGTGACATTTCCTGCTGCATACAGCAAACATGAGGTCTTGCAATATCCTGGAAAGATATGATTGAGGCTACTCCTTTAGCAAGTATAAATCAGGTTCTGGCACTGGTCTGTTCTCTCCCTTCTCTCCTAAAGCCCTATACACAAGTTTGCCAGTTAAGCAATATTGCTTGTTTCTCTATATCAGGAGCCTTTTTTTTTGTCTTGGCATCAGAGGTACAAGCCCTGTTCATGACTACCCAGCTACACATCAGCCACTCTTCTACAGAACTGTTGCAATTCATACCTCCTAATGACAAGTAAAATGAGTGGAAAATCATCCAAGGTCCTTTTCACTGGGGCCAGTGAAAGAAGAAGTTTCCCAAATGACTAGATGTCTTTTTCCTCCCCTAAAGCAAGCTTCCCAGTCTTTGACTTTACCTGTGTGAATGGTCCATTAAGTGCTTTACTTTGTTTACACTGAGCTATACCCTCAACACAGGAAAAAAATGATGTAGATTGGCCCTGAATAATCATGGCTCTGCCATTTCCAGTGCTGCTCAGACACACAGGGGCACAGCAACTGTGTCACAGTCCTCCTCACATTTGTCACAAAAATGATCAGCTGGCCCATGACAATGGAGGAGAAAAGCTAGGAGCCTCAGTCTGTGATAACCCTGTGTTGTTTGAATCATGAAGTAGCAGTTGGTCTACAAATGAGTGACTTATCACAGATCATATGCTATGTGTTCGAAGGTCCTATCAAAATTAGGGATGCTCAGCAGATGTTCAGTTCTCTACAGCCTTATCCTAAGGACAGGGGTGTTTTTTAGTGGAAATAACTGAAAGGTTTATCATCAGCAAGGATGAACGAGGTACAAGGAAGAACATTAAGTAACATTTAGAACAGCTATGTAGAAAGGAAACCTCATATGGGATGACAGATCTGTTGGCAGCAAACAGGGATAAGAGAGAGATTATAGTTTCAGTAAACAAGGCAGAGGCAAAAGAGTGGAAAACCTGAAGAGATTAAATTATTTGTCTATAATATCGCAGAAAGCATCAAAATGAGGAAAAGACTAAAACAGGTCTCATCCCCGGAGAAATTTTGTGTGCAGTGGACTAGAGTCATCCTCAAATTAAAAATTAACAAATAAAATCTTTGGTTTGTTTGATTAATGGCTATTAAAAAGACATTCTACTTTCTAACAAGGCAAAGATCCTCTGATTTTTCTCACTAGACCCTTGAGACCTTTCCTCACTTCCAGGTAAAAATATATTCATTAACTCATTATAATACCAAGATTTCATTTCAATGTAGGTGCAGTTATAGATCAAGATGCATTGGTAGAAGCTTTCCAGAATTAGGTTGTTAAGGTAGCAGCTCTGGACATGACATACCCAGAGCCTCTGCCAAGGTAAAGAAACTTGTTTTCCTTTCTATTAATCTGAAATACTTTACACTGTGTACAAAAGTGTGCTCCTAATCTTGATCTCCA